GACAACATTCAGTCAACGATTCAGCTAAATATTTCGCTGATTGTCACGTCGCTGACACAAGTTGAAGCAACAAATCGCTCGCTCGATGAAATAATCATACGGTGTGTTCGACGATCGGCGTGTTTGTCGCTGCGCATTCACGGTGTACTTCGAAGGTTCCAGTGGGTAGTGATAGCGGATAGTTATAGCCTGAAAATGATCAATGTAATTACGGTGTGTTGCTATATTTAGACGGGCGATAACGCCTGGTGATACCTGGACGACCTGGCGTAGGTGTAGAGCCGAGCGTCGGTACAACCTGCGACGTTTAACTTTAATGAAATCATTTTTCTTCCCCTTAACCCCCCTCCCTCCCCCCTTCGCCTATAATAACCCTCCGGTTATAACTATCAGCCGTGGTCGGTGTCGCGAATTAGCGACGTCATCGTTTCTCTTCTCCTTCCAGCGAGACACCTAAATGCACGCGTGTAAGCATTCCTGGCGCGGATTTCGCCAAGTGGCCGCCGGGCAAATTCTAGCCGCAAGCTCCAATTAAAACGCGCCGGGAAGTTTCCAGGGCGTGCGTGGAATTTTATTCAGTCGCGCGATTTTTCCATCGCGAACGCGATCGCTCTTAAATTGAAAGCAGCTGCTTGAGAAATTCGGACCTATTTGTCTTTCCGGGCGATTCGCGTTTCTGTTTGCGAATGTGTTCGAAACTTTTTGAAATTTTCATTAACGCCGTGACGCGAGGCCCTTCAACCCCTTGCGCTGGCAACTGACTGGCGGACCATAACGAGTGACCAAACCGTGTACAGTAATTCGTCGCTTTCTTTCTCAATTCCGGGGGCTCGGATAATATCACTGGATAGAAATTATTAAGAAGCGATAAATTTATTACTTATTGTTGAATAGTAGGTACTTGAATGTACTTTAAACTGAGAAACTATTGCAATTTTGGAGCACGTCGTTCCAGTGCAAGTGATTGAAACACCTCGAAGCAGAAAAATTTAGAAAATCATCAATTTGTCCGTTTTACTAATAAATTTTAGCGAGCTTGTGGTAATAGCTTTTCGAGGTAGCTTAATTTCTTTAGACTGGCTTCAAATCGGTTTTCAGTTGACTTTCAAACCGTTTCAAACGACAGTTTTATCGCAACGCTAATGAAAATTTCGCAAAGTTCCGATACGGGGGAAATTAATGCATACACATAAATAAATATTTATCGATCGACGGATCTTGTAACTTTAAGAAGTTATACTTGGATGGCTTCTCTCAATCAATCGAGGACTTGAGAAGAGGCTCTTGAAAGTTTCTCCGAGGATTAATAAACAGATTCCAACGATGTAAACACGCAGAATGCGATCGCCTATTTATAATAAAAGACGAGGATCATTTTGCACTTTTAGATTAGATTCGTTTGAGAAAAAAGAAAACAGAAAAGAAGCAATCCTGTAGACGTTTTAATTTCCTTCGGTTCAATCGTTTGTAGTCTGGTCGGATTAATCAGTCTAATCGGGCAAAGTTCGCGTAAATGTAACTCCCTGTAATTCCGGAATCATAGTGATCGTTTCCCCCGGTAATCCGGCGATAGAAGGCAGCCGTGGTAAATCGGTTTAATTAAAAGTTTCATCATCCAAATAATCAGGCGGCCTTGTTCGACTAACCGCGCGAACATTTAGGCGAACGTCGAACCTTTCGTTAACCCCACGAACAATTCATTCGCGCGCGAAAGAATATTTTACGTTTCCCCTTTTGTTCCGTGCGTTATCAGAATCGCGGAGGTGCGCGATGCGTTATCAGAGCTTACAAAGAAATCACGCGAGCATCGTTCCCATCTGCCGATAGATCACGCGAACACGCGCGTCCACGCAGCTTTCCTGCCACGGGTAATTACACGCATTTGGTGTGCGTGCACGCGCGGCCACGACACACGCGTTTCGAGCCAACTGCTTCGAGTTAGTCGTGTTGGATTGCACAGTTGGTCGAGTTGGACTTTGAACGATTCAACTTTCGTTCGTGGTCAAAGGTTGAACTGAATTATCGAATTTTACCGAATCGAATAGTGAAATATTTATATCGTCAATGTTATATTTTCGATTGAAATTAATTATTCCACGATTTGAAACGAGAACCAAAGGTGACGCGCGTGAAATAATTGTCTTTGTTGAGCGTTCACTGTCTAATTTGGAATTAGTACAAATGTACAAAGTATTTGAAGCAAGCTACGCATTCAATCTCCATTTAATTTACATTCTTTTAATTACGAGTTTGCACCAACTTGCGAGTACACCATCCCTGGCGAAAAGTTTCCGACCAAACGCCAGTATTCGAAAATATTCAAAAACATTGACATCTTTCGTAACATTTAATGTTGTTTGAAACACTTAATCTGAATAATTTAATAAATTTAATTTTAATTTCAATTAATTTAATCTTCAAATTTAACTTTAATTTTAATGAATATTTAATGTTGTTTGCGAAACTAGAACCAATTGCGAAAAGAAAGATTTTCATTCATCTTTTCACTCTTTTCACAACTTCACCCTTTGTCTCACGATTCTCTTACGATTCTCTTTCGTTATCGCCCATTTGTCATCTATAAAGCGCCGATAGAATCGTGTACAATTTGTATTTGAGAATTCAAGTTCAGATTCACATTTCACAGGTGTAGCTAGATTTTGCTCTCTCCTCGAGATCTCACGACGAGCACAACTCGAGGGGTTAACCACCTCGGCGAAACTTTAGACTTGAAACAAACAGGAAACCTCCGAGTCGTTCGAGGGGCAACGAAAGATAATCGGCGAACGGTATCGTCAGCCGATATCACTCGTGCATCTCTGTTCGGTGGATGCGTGTTTCCGTGGCCCGGAATTAAGCGATGACCGCGCGCAGTTAAGAAACGCGCGCCGCGTTCAAATAAATCCCGCAACGAACGAACGAACGAACAAACGAACGAACGATACCGCGTACTTCGCGCTTCCGCGGACGCTGATTTATGCCGCAGGAAATTGCGATAGCGACGCTGCCGCGACTACACGCGCTTTTCCACCGCGCGGACAGGGAATTCCAATTTAGACGTCCACGCCGGTGCTGCTTTTTTCCTTTTTTCTTTTTTTTTTTTTTTCGCCGAGGAAATCGTGATTTACCGGCGGAGGAACGATCGTTGCGTAACGGTGTGTTTCGTCCTTTTTTCCCTTTCTTTTTTCTTTTTTTTTTTTTTTTTTTTTTTTTTNTTCTTTTTTTTTTTTTTTTTTTCTTTCTTTCTGGCACGATCAGGCCAAAGAGTTTTATCAGCGGCCGCGTGAATAGGTAATGAACGGCACTCCGAAATTCGCTTTGAAATTCGGCAATTTCTCGGCGAGAATTTACATTTTTTTTCACGGGGATGAAGCCTGTGTACACTCGGCGGGTGTAGCTTTTGGGCATGTAACGATACAGAGGATTAATACATTGGATATGACTCGGCGTTTGACTCGCCAGTGATCTCACGTTGCCCATTGACGATTAACGATTAATTTCTATTAATTCTTTTCGTCGTATTTGCGATACGAGTTAATCTTTTTTACGATCGTTTATCTTGCTAAACTGTGTACAGTGACAAGGGCAAAACTGAACGCACGCGTGGAATTTTATCGAGTGTTTGCACGTGAAATACGAAGAAAGCAGAATATGTACGAACGTTCTAGTTCTTTCGAAAAAAATTTCACGATTCTGTTATCACTGTTTTCGTGGAATCAGTTTTGCACCGCGATTAATTCAAATGAGAAATTACCGACACTTTAGACTGTTTTAATTTCGTAAGAGAACATCATATAACAATCTGTTTAATCTCGTTTTGAAACGTTTCTCTGAATTCGTTCTTTTTCTACGTGGAAAAATTCACGCGTGTGCAAATTTTATGACTAAATCTCTCCTAGACAAATTTCTCCTCTGACGACTGTACGATCGTTTCTCACTATTAAACTTTGAACATTGTGACAAGAATCAAGAAATTCTTAATGTGAATTTTAAGAGATCGTTGTAAACAGAAAATTTAAATTTTCAAAATCACGATGAATCGGGTCGACGAAAGAATTTTTTTTAACATTCTTTAAATTTCGACAATTTTCGAGAATAAAAGTACTCTTGCTTTCTCACTCGCTGCACGACGTGAGAACGTCTTTGAAAGAAAACGAGCTCGGGGTAGTCGAATAGAGGTTAAAATTGTCACGCAAATTTTCTTTTACTATCGAAAATTTTTCATCGCTATGTGCTTCAGTTGTCGTTTAAACAATTTCATTCTTTCACTTGTGTAACGCAGCCGCAACTGTTTGGAGTCGACTCGTTTAATCGCTTCTGTCGTCGTTTATCGCGTAAAATATGGAACGTACACAAATTGAAATTGGACAGTTTGAAGTGAAATGGCCTAATTCGAACAGTTGTAGTAGCATCGTTATTTAATTCGATAGAGTAGACGCGAATGTGGATGTTGATCGACTAACTAATTGTGCACCCAAACCGTGCGACCAATCCCGAATCATTCACCGATCGTCCCTCGGTTCCCTTTTCCCGTGAATCCGAGCGTTCTGAATCTCTCTCCCGACGAACGCGCGGTTCCCCCGGTCGCGAATTAAAACGCACGGTTGCCGCGCGGGCAGCCAACCCCCCCCCCCCGGAAACTTCAACGACGAAGCAGCGAGCAAGCAGCACGGTCGACAATGAGCACGGGGAAAAAAGAATTTAAAAAGAGGAGACAGAGAGAGAGAAAGATGAAAGAAATACTCATAATAATTATATATATGTATATATATATAAAAAAAAAAAAAAAAAAAAAAAAAAAAAAAAAAAAAAAAAAAAAAAAAAAAAAAATCGGATAAAAACGAGAAGCAGGAAAGAAAGAGGGAGGCGAACGATAAAAAGAAAACGACAAGAAAGGAAATTATATCTGTAAAAAAACGGGAAACGAGACAAACGGGAAAACGAGAGCCAAAGAGTTAACAGAGTTAAAAATTGATCGGTACAAATCATTTCGTCTGCAGCAGGGTTGCGGGCAGTGCAGACATGGGAAGTGACCATTACTGCCTGAGGTGGAATAATCATCAGAGCAACTTGCTGGGTGTGTTCAGTCAACTGCTGGAGTCGGAGTCACTGGTGGACGTGACACTGGCGTGCACGGAGGGACCTTCGATACGTGCCCACAAGGTAGTCCTCTCCGCGTGCTCCAGCTACTTCCAGGCCCTGTTCCTTGACCACCCGAATCGCCACCCCATAGTCATCCTAAAGGACGTACGTTTCGCCGAGCTACGTACCCTCGTCGACTTCATGTACAAGGGCGAGGTAAACGTCGAGTACTGCCAGCTATCGGCCCTCCTCAAGACAGCGGAGAGCCTCAAGGTGAAGGGTTTAGCGGATATGACGAACATCAACGCGGCGGTAGCGTCGAGGGATGAGCAACAGCAACAGCAACAACAACAACAACAGCAGCAGCAGCAGCAGCAACAACAGCAGCAGCAGCAGCAACCGCAACAGCAACAGCAACAGCAACAACAACACACGAGCACATCCGAGGGTATACAGCGGGAGACGTCGCGAGAACATCACCGTGAACGCGAGAGTATAAAGGAGGCGAGCAACAAGGAGAGAGACAGGGAAGGAAACGCGTCCGGTGGTGGCACGGGTTTGCCATCGGCAGGGGTGAAAGAATGCGAGCAACCGCAACGCGAGAACCTGGCCCAACCACCCAGCGAGTCGACCGAGGCGGTAGACATGACCGACTGTCCGGCATCGCCCACCGGGCCCGGTAGCCCTTGTCCAGGACCATTGGCCCTTGATCGACCTAGGAGGGACTCCGAGGACGCCGCCAGTTTAGAAGAAACGAGGGGTTCCCTTAGCCCGATCTCGGTGCACAGTGGACCGTCGGACATGAGTCTAAGTAACAATACCGGCAGCACGCCCGGTGTTGTTCTGCCACTGAATTTACCGCAGAGTCGGCTTCCGTCCCCGCACAGTACAGAGCCTCTCGCGGGCCCGTCGGGGTTACCCCCGGTTCAACAAGTTCCACTTGTGAGTACAACTCTTGCTCTCCTTTACATTTTTCCTTACAATTACGCAGATGTAGATGGTGGACGTGTAATGGCATCGTAGATCGTCAAGATTTACGCGATTTACGGCGATATTTAAGACGACGTTCTTTTCCAGTCTTTGCATTTCCAATAGCGTGTACGATGTCGTGTCGTGATCGCGGTCTTGAAATATAAACCGAGATATGGTCGCGTTCGTCTTGATTCGATTGGAAAAGTTCAAGTTCCATCGCTACGTTATATTACGACGATACGGAAATTTTATTTGAAATTAATTCGTCGTCACGCGAATACGAAATTCTTTTTCTAGTACGACAAATGCTAGGGATCGAGATAATAATGTTTTCGATTGTAATGTATTTTTCCTTTTTTTTTCAAAGTTCGCCGTGTGTACATTCCCCGACTTGGATCGAAGTCGATGATCGCGAAATATTTCGAAAAATATTCGCGAACTTCGAAGAAGATGGCCGTTACTTTATTTGTTGATTATTACTCTCGTTCGTATCGATCCGGGATTGTTCGAGAACGTTGCTCAAGTAAATGCTAATGGCTCGGCCTTGCTGCGGTCGGTCCGCGCGAGCTGGTTCATACTTTTTTCCTTCCCAATAGCATCGACAGCTATCCAATTATTACTTTGACGTGAACCCGATGTTCGTTTGCAGTCGTTAAAAAAAGAGATGGACTGGGAAAGGTCGACGGAAGAGCGCAGTGCGAGCAGCGAAATATCCACGGATTACAGACTCCCACCGGATCCGGTGAGTTTTCCCCCGCCTTTTTCTTTTTTTTTTTTTTTCTCTCCGTACTATATATTCCAATTTATTGACTACTTTTTATTCTCGTACTTTCTCTTTACTCTGCATTTATATATATATATCGATTACGGTTATCGCCGGTTGTGCGTGCCGCCGGTCGCGCTCGACTCATCTGCAATCGCATACACACGACCGTACGGCATTGCCATATGGATTGTGGATGAGCTGATGCGAGTCTTCGGAAAAGAANAAAAAAAAAAAAAAAAAAAAAAAAAAGAAAGTAGACTAAAAATGGAAAAAAAAAAGATAGAAAGAAGTAGAAACGTCCGCAATTCGTTGGATCTCGATGCATCTCGTGTCGTACCGACCGTTACGACGAATCGTTCGTTTACGTGCTACTCGTTGACGACCACCGATGTTGACAAGAGATGGTCCGTGAGATGGTCCCGGGCAAACGGGATGCCGAGTTTTCGCCTAGTTCGATTAGCTCCGGCAACGTTTCAACACGATCCATTTTATCTATCTATCTATTTATATCTATCTATTTTTTTTTTTTTTTTTTGTTTTTGTTTTGTTTGCCTATCTATCCGACACCGATAGATAGACAGGCATATATATATTATATATATATATATACATATACATTATATTTCGAGTTCACTTGCATGTGGGTCTATTGCATGCGTGCCCAAGTGCTTTGCTGTTTGCTGCTCTCCCCGCTAATTTTGAAAGTGATCGTGTCATTAACAGAATCGCTAGTCGTCGTGACCGAGGCTAGAGTGTGATCGGAGAGGTTCGATGACGAAAAAGAAAAAAAAAAAAAGAAAGAAAGAAAGAAAGAAAGAAAGAAAGAAAGAAAGAATACACGAGACAGCAAAAAATCGTTCTTGATTTCCCCTCGAAGTACTATGGGATTCTCGTATTCGAGCGCCATAGTTCCGTATCTTATATTTCGACCTAGACGCGTTCGACGAGATGAACGTTTCAGTGATACTTTTGGCTCGTTTTGACTCGAGGTTTACGCCACGATTACACATTACGACTATACGCACGATCTCCGCGTTCCTTTCTCGAGAATCTCGCACGAGACGCGATGGGACGTTTATTAGAGAACGAGAGAAAAAGAAAACAGACAAAGAAGCGTAATGACGAAATTGGACAAATAGCTGCTTGCCGATCGTTCTAGCTTAAGTAAAAAAATGATCTTCGTGGAGACGCGCTCTGCAGAAGGAGATCAATCGTGCATGCTCGTCTATCTCTGACGAACGTATTATATCTTCTTCTTTCTTCCAAATTAACTCACTTCTCCACGCCCCGTGCATACGTCCTGTCTTCTATCTGTCTGTCTGTCTCTCTCTCTCTCTCTCTCTCTCTCTGTCTCTCTCGCTCCTCTCGTTCTTCAACCCTTCTTTCAATCGATCCATTTACGCAACTCTCCACAACCTCTCTCTTTCTCTCTTTCGCTATTTTCGTGCGTCTGTCGATTCCCGAGCGCGCTGTTTTTCCATCGATCTTCTTCTTTCGCTCTTCTCTTCTCTCTCTCTCTCCTCTACCTCTTCTCTGTTCTCGCGAGAAAAAAAAAAAAAAAAAAAGAAAAAACAAAGAGAGAGTCGAGTCGTGAAGCCGGAAATCGTGAACCCGGCCTCCTTGGTCCCACCAACAATCCTTGGTATTCGCGAATCCTGCCTCTCCCTGGATCCGAATTCCCAGTGGACGCTTCGAGGTGCTGTGACGAGTCGCAGTTGATTAGAAACGCGACTCGTGACGCCGCCATTCGATCGTTTCTCTTTCCTCCTCTGGAAATCGAAGGAAAACCGGCGCGTAACACATGGTAACATATATATACATATACTACTGATTCTTCCTGTTCGTTCCATCCTTGCCAGCCTGTCTTGCTAGCTCACTGTCAAGAAGTTGACCTTCGTTTTTGGCCATGGTTGTTTTTTTAATACATTTTTATATATATATATCAATACGTAAATATATATATATATGTGTATATACATATATATATCGTTACATACATGTACTGATATTATGTGCAAGCTACATATATATGTATATATTCTCACATTCGGTATACATACGTACATATATATATATATATATATCTCGTTTATACATATATACAAATTATATTGACATTCATTATATTATTACCATTGTAATATTTGTACTTCGATTTGTCGTTTTTTTCTTTTTTTCTTTTTTGGATTGAGTGCTTTTGCTGCGGCGAGCATCTTTTTTCTTTTCACGCCGCGCGCGGTCGCTCCGGCCGCGATTACTGCCAAAAACAAGAAAACAAAATTGAAAAAAGAAAAGAGAGATAGAAAAAAACAACAACAAATAAGAGACGCGATAAAGAAAGAAAGAAAGAAAGAAAGAAAAAAAATCGGAGGAGGGACGAGGGGTGGCGGGTGGGCTGTCGTCGTTCTTGAGCGAGGCTGCGGGGGTTTGCCAGCGGGGCCCGTACATGTGCTATCCCAGATACAAAAAAAGAAAAAAAAAAAAGACACATATACGCGTCTATGCATATATAGACACGTATAAGAACACCCGTATACGTGTGTATATATATATATATATATATATATATATATAAATAAAACACGTCCCTTGTACGCTGTTTTTTACACACACATCAAATCAGACAATTTCCTTATGTCATTATACATATGTTACTTCTGGGGTGCGCGTCGTGCCAAACAAAAATGAGCGTCAACTTCTTGTGCTACCGTCTTACATGCCGTCGAGAGGTATCATTTTCTCGTCAGGCCTTCAGGGACTTCTTCTTCTTCTTTTTTTTTTTTTTTCTTCTTCTTTTTTTCTCCACTGAGAAAAGAGATACCACGGCGAAGTACAGAGGAGGAAGGAAAGAAAGACAGAGGAGAGAACCTCGCGTACACGCGTAATACATCCGGTCATGCCAAAAACGCGCTTCTTACAAAGTAGTGGTCTCGTGAAAAACTAGCCTTTTGCCTGTTCTTTCTTTATTTATTTATTTTTTTTTTCTCTACTGTAACATATATATATATATTTTTTTTTTGTACTTAACCAATCGGTTTAGTGGCGATAGAGAGAGAGAAAAAAAAAACGTAAAATAGCAGAAGTAGTTAAAAGTTAAGAAAGAGAGAGAGAGAGAGAGAGAATGTGTGTGTGTCTGAGAGAGAGAGAGAGAGAGAGAGAGAGAAAGAGTGTAGAAAAGAGGAGAAGATAGAAAAGATTCTTTTTTTTCGAACGAGGAGCGCGAACGTGCGCCGATTGAAGCTCGGCGAGTCGCGGCTCGTACATGCATATATGTATATACGATATATGTGTATCTGTGTACGCTGTCAGTCGAGTAGCGTCGAAACGAGCGATTTGTCGCGGCGAAGTAGCGGGAACGTTGCACATAGCATCCATGCGTCATAAGTGACGGAGAGAGAAAGAGAAAGGCGGCGAGAGAAATCTGTTTTCTGCTTGAAACGATCACTTCAAAGTAAAGGAAAGTCCAAAAAAAAAAAAAAGAAGAAGACGGGAACTTGGTTCTTTTTTTTTTCTTTTGCAAACAAGATAGATGAATAGACAAATAGATAGATGAATAGATAGATAGATGCATATAGACAATCATAGATAGACGATGTAAAGAAAAGGAGAAAGTAAGAGAGAGAGATAGAGAGAGAGAGAGAGAGAGAGAGAGAAAGAGCGAGAGAGAGAGAGAGAGAATGAAAGAGCGCAGGGGAGAGCGAGAATTATTATTACTCGGGGGTGTATTACGGACGAACTAAAGGGAAGACAAGAAGTTGATGTTCTTGTTTGTTTGGTTGCAGGAGTTGATGGGTGTGGATGAGCGGATGTTTGCGTGCATGTACTGCGGTGCCTCGTTCCTCCACCAGAGCAAGCTGGCGCGGCACATCCTCTCGCACAGCCTCGAGTCGCTCAAGTACCGTGAGCAGGCGGCCCACCTGCAGCTGCAGGCTCAGCTGGGTCTCGAACCCGGTATGCACCTGCCGCCGGAGGCCCACTACCCCACCGCAGGTACGATCGAGCCGATGGATCTCGAGCTCGCGGCCCACTCGGACCCGACCTCCGGCGTCGTCCTCTGCAAGTTCTGCGGCAAGTCGTTCCCGGACGTCGGCTCTCTGATAGCCCACCTACCGGCGCACACAGGCGACAGGCCCTTCAAGTGCGAATTCTGTGGCAAGGCCTTCAAGTTGCGCCACCACATGAAGGATCATTGCCGGGTGCACACTGGCGAACGTCCCTTCCGGTGTACGCTGTGCGGCAAGACCTTCTCGAGGTCAACGATACTGAAGGCCCACGAAAAGACACATTATCCGAAGTATGTGCGCAAGTTCCTGTCCCCGAGCCCCGTGGATCCCTCCGAGGAAGAGGCCCCGCCGCCGCCACCGCCGCATCATTGAGTTCGCCTTAGACCGTGCAACAACCGCCACGTTCACCACCGCCGGATGAAGAATCGCCGATTCATACACCTTCTTCATCTTCATCATCATCTTCTTCTTCTTCTTCTTCTTCTTCTTCTTCTTCTTCTTCTTCTTCTTCTTCTTCTTCTTCTTCTTCTCAATCTTCGTTTCCATTTTCCCAAGTCCCTTCGCCGAATCGCCGTTCCATCACCATCGATCGCCACCACCGCGATGGAGGAGGACACTCCGGATAGCACGCGTCCGACCATTTACCGGGGAATCGACGTCGTTGCCCGCGCGACACCGGGAATGATGATGCGGTTCGACCAGGCAAAAGGAAACACGGACACGAGCAATTTTACTAGCGGTGCCTCATTCTCATTCGCTCGTTGTTTCTCCTGTTTCTTTCGTCATTTATCCCCGTTACTGTTACCACCACCACCACCATCACTACCACTGCTACCACTACTATCATTACTGTTACTGTTTCTTCAACTGGTTGTCGTTTGTCATCGTGTCCTTCTCTCGACACGGCAAGTTTCGTCGTTCAGTCTCCTGATGGTCGTGTCAAACGGCCGAGAAACGTTCGCGCGCCTCCTC